GAAAATTGACACTTTGAACATTTTTGTGACATAGACTGCGGTGTATTGAGGCAACCCTTTAATCATTGACGGAATTTTTTTTCTGGTTTGTCCCAGCTGCTGTTATAACTGGCTCATGCTGGTTATGAGTGGGCCTCTTTTGGTTTTAAAAAAGTATGCACGGGAGACCAACCTCGCAAGCACACAAAGACCCCCCCCCCCCCCCCGCCGCATAGCCTTCAATGTCTGTTGGGGAAAGTGCTGTTTGGGAGCACCTTTGAAGGCTGGTTTGGCACACAAGAGGGTGGTGTGGTAAGAACAGGGCCTACCTTGGCTCCTCCCACCCTCAACCAGTATATATACAAGGACTGTTTTCTTGGAATTTCTCTCACTTGATACAGCTATCGTGCTGTGACGGTTCCCCCTGTGTTGCCTCCGAAACGTCGTGATTTTATTTTATTTTTATTTTACTTTTATTAATTATAATTTTTTACCTACATGACTTTACCGAAAAAACCTAAGAATATGAATCCTTGCAGTCACGAAAGCTTCAAATCTAGAAAGAACAACGCTGTTTACACGCCAAACCAGGTACTGTTTAATGTTGAGTCAACCTAGGCCAGAAGCCCAGGGCCGGTTTTAGATATTCACCACTGATTTTGGCCGTGAGTGGGAATCCAACTCGGGTTGTCAGGTTCATAGCTCAATCCCCTAAGCAATATGCCACTGCTGCACCCATATGTACACACAGGTGTTCGTACACGTAAAACATAGTTGATACAGTGATGTGGTCAATATCAGCAATTGGTGATTTCACACACATTAAATGTAGGGACGAACCAATTCAAATCCCTGCGTCCCAATACAACACTGCTTTTCATCTTTACCAATAATCATTATACCACAGTCCATATCATACTTACTTCCTGCCCCACCCCAAACACACGTACAAAGAAAAAGATTCCCATATAAGCTCACCATACTTTTTGGGGCAAGTGCTGTTAGCGAGCAACTATGAAGGCCGGCACGACGGGGTGGGTGGCCAGCACCACACCCGGCCGCTTTTTTGTATATCTATGTATGTTGAACTTCTTTCGCACCATACATAGCCAAAAGCGCTCATCGGTCTCCATCGTAGCAATGTTTACACACCGCACCAGGTACTCATTTGAGGCTGAGTCTACCTAGGGGAGGCCCAGGACCGGTTCAAATATTCGCCACTATTATTGGTTGTGAGCGGGAATCGAACTGGGATCCCCGGGTTCGTAGCGCAGCGTGCTAACCACTACACTACCGCTCCCCCGCACATACATATACACACGCGCACACACGCGCACACGATCATGTGCAACGCATAACACAACCGCAACACTCGTCCCACCCACATGCCCCTCCTTGCACAACGCGTCTTTGCACTCTCACGAGAGCGAGAGAGAGAGCGTGGACGCCAATCATCACACCACCCGTGTGTCACTGGCGTAGCTGGGAAGGTTGCGTTGAGACCGATGTCTCATTTCTCACAACACCAAGCCGCAGGCACCGGTCCATCCTGTGTGTGCACATTCATTCTCTCGTGCACACAGACACACACATGCAACGTCTGAGTGAGTCAAGAGTGTTGTGTCGGTGGCCACGACCAGATTCGTGGAATTAAAACTGCATTTGTAAAATCAAAAAACCCAACCCCCCCCCTACAACGGTTGTTGCAATGATAGCTCCCGGCTGGGAAGTTACACGATTTCTTACGTACATTGAGGTGCTTTACTGGTTTGTGAAATAATTTCACAAAAGCCACGGAACCCCTCCCCCCTCCTCCCCACATCGTCCCTTTTCAAGCATCTTCATCAGCCATAGGATTACTGCGGGGGGGAGGGTTGTCTCGTTTTTGGGGGGGTTTTGTATCTGTTTGGGCCTAGAAAGTCGACCGTTTAGGGCTGCGATTCAGATAAGAAATTAATTTGTCTACCTTTCTCAATGAGGGACAAATGGCCATAAAGTTAGCCACAGTGTCGGACGCACTCGGACAAACTGACTTTTGCCATCCACGCCGAGGATGAGGACATTGCATTGGGTATAGTGTACGTGTCAAACCGGTGAACTGTTATGCAAATACGGCACTTCTTGTTAAAGGCTGTACATAATTATCTTAAAAAGTGTGACTTATGCACCAATATTGTGATGTTTTATTTCTTTTTGACTGCGAGGTGGCCTAGTTTGTGAAACTGCCCATCTGTTTGTCCTGGACAGATCTATCTCGCCAAGTGTAGATCCTGGGAGGGATATAAACGTCTCGCAAGGGAGCTGATGACCCTGGGATGTGTAACCGCCTTGATAATTCTGGTATAAAAAAAGGAGTTGGAGAGTAGGCAAATGTGAAAACAAACCCGGAGGGAAGAATAGCCCCGTATTAGTCAGATGTGAAGATCCCTGGTGGTACTTTGCTTGTTGCCACTGTTTGGATTTCACGAGTGGTGAATCATGAATATTTTCCAGCATCTACTTCTGGTTCCTCGCTTGTAAATGAGTACCTGTGTCTGGCTTAGGGTTTCACCTGCCATAGAGAGAGTGCATATCAAGGGAGATTAAAAAAACATTATAATTTTAGAGAGAAAAAAAACATTTCTCGGGAATTTCTAAATTGGTTGTTCATTGATGAGTAATAGGTTTTAAAATACCAGTGATAGTCATAAAAAAACATCTCAATATTAATTTCAAGCAGTTAGATAAATTAATATTTCTTCGGAAATAAATAGCATCATCTTTTAATTAAAGTTTCATTTGTATTCAACCGCAAAAAAAAATCCACCGTACGTTTCGTGATCAAAACGTATTTCTAAAAGTTTTCATTTTACAACCCATTGTCAATTCACTGCTGGATGAAGGCTCCCTGCCCCCCCCTCATGACGATTGGTTGACTTTAATCCACCATGCTGGTCAATGCAAGATTGGCAAATAAACAAAAACACAAAAGCCCTCTTATGCAGATGTGAAACCTCTGCGCTGGCTGTGCTGTAAATACAGAAGTGTGGAGAGAGAGAGAGAGAGCAGAGATGGAGGGGGGTGGGGCAAGGAGGGAGTGGCAGAGGAGACGTGAGGGCGAAGGTGGCTTGGGGGGAGATGTGAGTAGGGCTAGGAGAGTGCAGAACGAGCGATGGGAGTGGAACTGGAGACGGGGGGAGGGGAGGGGGAAGGGGGGTGGCAGCAGCAGCAGCGAGAGATGCGGGGGGCTTTAATGTGGGCGGAGGAACGGGAACGCTAGCATTTCTCGCCTGTGCTCATGATCACCCGCTTGCGACTCCTTGCGCCAAACGTTCCTGCGATCTTCTTCCGCCGTTGACGCTCCGCTCCGCGTGTTCTTCTCGCCTCGCCGGGGATTAATAAGAGCAGTGGCGTCGACGCAGTCCGTGTCAAACAACGCCTGCCACCGCCGCCGCAACCATCGTCATCGGCAGCCCTCGGCATCTCCGGGGTTGCCTTTTCAGTCGTCTCGTCTGTTTTTTTTTAAAACACGAGCGTTTGAGGAGCACGTCAGCGAGAGCCTTCGTCCATGGGAATATCTGCTCGTGCCGTTTTATAAGTAATATATATATACAGTATCCATATACTGTGTTTGAAAAGCGTTAATTGTGGAGAAAGAAAGAACAAAAATGCCGGAGGCGAACTATCTTTTGTCTGTTTCCTGGGGATACATCAAGGTAAATCAAATCACCCGACGAACACTTTGATTATGTGTGTGCCTGAAAATAGGTGTAGGTGTTTGGTTTTATGGTGGATGTGTGCCATGGATTATATGTTACATTTTCTTCAGTCTTGTTGATGATGTTCTGCGAAGCTGTTACGTGTTTGCTGAATTTTGAAGCGATTCAATTGAGTGTTATATGCTGATAAGTATACTTTATATTGTCAACTGGGCAGGAATGTAATTAGTGGAAAGCTTGCCGACATACAGACGGGATTATTACACCAACATTGTAGGAGTAAGATTCTTAGGCTCTCCTGGAATCAAACAGGGATCTTGTGATCGATAGTACTTCTGATAGACTTACATTTTTTTTATCAGTACCAGGTGAAGGTAATTTTCATTAAAAAAAAAGCCTTGATAAGTCAATTGCGATGTAGAGGTCGACCATATACAACATGTGTTATGTTGATCAATATTTCATGAAAAAATGCTAAAATGTGGGGACTTTTGGATGATCTTGTTATTTGAATCTCATACGAGCCATAGTTCTGGCTATGAGCAATGGAGGCTTATTTTAAAATGGCTGTTGTACATGTATTTTTCTTAACATGTGCCTTTAATTAATCGCATGTAGTTCTAATTTTTGTTTTGATCCATGCATGTTGTTAGTTTTGCACATGTTGAAACGTAACACCGACGCGGCCTATTGCCTCCACCGCAACGTAGACATGCCTTTGAAGATGTAGCTTTCGTTCACAGCTGCGTAGCAATCACTTGTATTTCCCTTACAGATATCGGCAGCACATTTACAATTCCGTGACCAAATAGATCACGAGGATGTAGGGTAGTGTAAAAAAAAATTCCCACTGTGTCTGAAGAAGGTCCGTAGATGCAGGACACATTGCGACGTTACGAATATCCACATTGTATCGTACGACAGCGGGTTGGTATACAGCTTCACTCGGCCCCTGCCATAGGAACGTAAAATTGGCACGAGCCACTGGCACCGAACGCTAAACAGATAATGAGCGGAGAACGGATTTGACTCACTGTTGCTATTGCCATGCAGTAATGCAATGGGAGCTGGAGTTGCAAGATGTTGTAATTGCAGCACCATCTCAAGATGATGTACAATGGAATGGGAGGACCACATCTGGAAATAATTCTCAACCACAATTTATAATCATCACAATAGTTTACAGCCACACTGAGAAGCGGTCACATTTCGCCGCTCTATAAACCCACATTGTTTTCGCCTTTAATTGTATTCAGGAGGTGTAGATTTGTGGGACCCTGAGTGTGTTTTTTAATGCTCTGTTTTTTCCCCGTTTCCTTGCAGTTCAAGAGGATGTTGAACCGGGAGCTTACCCACCTCTCAGAAATGAGTCGATCTGGCAATCAAGTTTCCGAGTTCATCTCCAGCACCTTCTTGGGTGAGTACACGTCACCTTGTTTTCGGGGAAGTATCGTGAGCGAAATCATGGCCATCATCATACATAAACACGTCATAGCGGCCAAGATCCTGTAAAGTCTGCAAGGAAACCCCCTGCAACAAATATTTCCTGTCCTTGGAAAGTGTTTGGTCATATATCCTGTTGACGCAACCTGACATCCCATCCTGTGTCTCCGTGGCTGTGTGTGCCTTAGTCTGGCTGCCAGCCTTGAGTTTGTCTGCTGTGTATACGAGCGTCGTGGGGCAGCGCTGAGTGTGCCAAGTGTGTATCGCGACGGCGTGTCAAATAGCATCGCTGGTGCCATGCAACATTCGCACCCCTACCTTTCTCCAAAGATAGACGTCTTCATCAGCGAGTGCCATCACTGTTGGAACTTTCAGCTCGTATATTATTTTATTATTATTGTGCTCGTGTTTATCCGGGGGGGGGGGGGGGGGTCCTGCTCCCGGAGTCTCAGGAGGGCTGCTCGGTATTTCGATATTAAGTAATTTGCAAGTAGTTTCTCAAATTTGTGCAAAATGTTTAACCGCAACGCCGGCACTCATCGTTGGCCGACTCCTCTTTCGGTGACGTCACGGAATCTTTACCGTCCACTCTGAAGCAGGATGGTGCTCATTTTTTGTTTTGATTACGGTAAATACACTTGCAGTATTAACCAGGGGGGCCTGCCCAATTCGACCGAGAACCTCTTGAACGCTTGGCCACAGCAGCACCACCCATTGTGTAGCATTTGATCATAAAATATGAAATACAATATAAAAAAATTTACATCATATTTTAACTGATGCAATGCAAACCACCAATACACAGTAGATTGAGGAATGCCTAGGAAAGTGCAGCTCCCGTATATACTGATCCACGCATGACAAAATGAAACACATTTCTCGTTCTTATCGCCGACCTTTGTTCATTTTTTATTTCTTAATTGCTAATTTTTCATTGGTTTAGAAGCTGTTACATTTAAGATGGTAACATTCTGGATTAAATACAATTAGTTAACAGTGCTAGCTGGTAAAATTACTGCTATCACTACAGATCACCATTACCCAATTAATCAAAGCAATCATTAATAGATTAACTGATCGATAGTTGATTGTTCCAGCTGGCATTTTTTTTGTTATCCATATAAAAAAAAAATTATTCACGCGAAATTGAAAGATCTCAACATTTGTTGGGCTAGGGCCCACCTTACAGGCATTTCCTTGCAATTGGCGCATTTGCCTTGTGGTATGGGGCTAAATTATAAAGCCACGTCTCCCCTGCATGTGAAGTATTTTACGCTGATGAGGGTCAACTAGAGATGTGCATTCTTTCCCCCATTCTACCCCATTCTGGCTGAACGATTTTGAGCACGGAGCTTGCTATGCTCGTATATGTCTCCATCTGCCTCGTCTCTATCTGCCTCGCTGCCTGCTTTACCGCCGGTAAAATGTCTCTCTCTCCATCCGCCTCATAAATTATATTCGGCATCAGTATTGTCGTGGGTCGTCATCGGGTGTGGTGTGCTGTGCCTTCGGAACACAATATCTTGGTTTTCGTAGCAAATCTGTCTTTTGTTTTTAATCACGGATGCTGAGCACAGGCCCAAAATGCCAATTGTCCAGCAACGAACGGCAGAATTGAAGGTGTATTAGATAACGGTAAATATTTTTTTTTTGTTGAGTGAGTATGTAAAAAATTCTTGATTTGAAAAAAAGTTGTTAGGAAATTTTAAGTAAAAAAAACCTCTGATAGACCGACACGCTGGTTTTGTTTTGCTAAATTATTGCTAAAGATTTTCTCTATGGTATTGTGTTTTTTTATGCATTTATATGGTGGGAATTTGTTTCGTAGTATTGTTTTATCATTCCCGGCGTTCATTATGGCGGCTGTATTTAGGCACAAGTGTTATTATGCTCTAGCTGGCTTAATTGGTTTCATGTATTTGGGTTTCAATTCGGTATGTGGGTCAGAAAAAAATCTGAACAGTTAAAAACATACACGCGCACACACATACAACACAAACAACAATGATCTCTGTATAGCCTTAGCAGACTTTTGCAGCAAGTGCTGTTAGCGAGCAACACCTTTGAAGGCCGGTACGACACACAAAGGGATGGACGGCCAGCGCCACGCCTGACCACCCCCGTCTCCCCAGTGGTGATGTTTACACATCGCACCAGGTACTCATTTGAGGCTGAGTGAACCTACACATACATCATATAAACATACACACAGGATATGGCTGCGTGGTAGTGTTATTGTTGCATTCTCCACTTAGTCCATTCTAAATTACTGGATTTACAGTTTCTGGCTACAACCCTTCCATGTCCTACATCTGCAAATCACGTGGTCTGCATTAGGCCAGACACTAAAGAGGCTGTGCCATTGTTCTCCAGTCCTATCGCTATTTGCTGGAATCGGGATACTGCCACGTGGCCTTGCAATCCGGATGTCGTCGGTTCGAGATCTCAAGGCGTGGCTTTCAGAAGAGTGGCCATGTTTCTTACATTCTGGGCGTGTTTCTTAAATCCTCCTGGCTATATCCACCCAGCAGTACACGTGGGTACGCACTACAACTAGTCCATCAGAAAGTAGTGTGTGGTGGGGTAAAGCGTGAGTACTTTCACCTTTTCCAATACATCTGTGTCCAGAGTGGAAGAGTAGGCCAAAACACACTTAAAAGGGGGCTCTCAAAGAGCCCGCTCTAGCCATTCCACCAGCCGTGGTGTGAGCAATACATTTCAACATGCATACATTTTAGGGCTGTACCTTTTTTTTCCTGGGATTGTAACCCACATCCCATTTGTTTACATTGTTAAACTCCAACTGAAATGACCAATAATATATTGGTAAGCATCCTCTGGGCTTTGGGGTAATCCACTATTGGTCATACCACCACGGAGATATAAAGCAATTATCATCTGGATTACGGTATAAGATTATTCATACAAGATTAAGGGGAGGAACGGTGGCACGGTGCTTAGAGCACTGCGTAACGAACCTGACCAGCTGAGTTGGATTACCGGCCACTGCTGACGTTACTGACTACTTACTTCTGAACACATTTTTGGATGTTCCATCTAGCATGGCGAAGTATTGTCAAACAACCACACCCAGCATTGAATTCACAAAGGGCTGTACATTTTAATGCAACTGTCTTCTCGACAGACCTGTTCTTCACCTGAGGACGGCTGCTTGCGTTGTGGCCGAAACGTCGTGAGAATTATTTTATTATGTTTTATTTTTATTATATTATTAATTCCATTCTACGTGACTTTACCGAAAGAACCAAGAAGATGAATCCCTGCAGTCACGAAAGCTTTAAATCGAAATCTTAGGCTAAGTTAAATCTTTTTTTTCATGCCAAATATTGCTTTTCCAGACAAACGGAAACCCCCTGTTCCACTTGTGCAAAATAAAATAAATGGAACGACAATGAGACCTGCGCGAGACCTGGAATGGGGCTGAAGGGATGATTTATCGCTGCAGCTGCCAGTGTTGTTAGCCAGTAAATTATGGATGTGTTTGCGGGCGCATTGGCCCGTAATCTGTTTTTTGTGTGTTTGTGTTGTGGGTTTTTGCAGTGGGTGCCATCCCTTAACAAACCGTCCTCTAACTAGCAGTTGGTAAACCCTCGTTAAACTGGGCCCTTAAAACATCTGGCTTCATTAAACAGGCACGCTCTCGCTTTTTTTGTGAGAGAAAATGACCAGACTTGCTTTATTTTGGAGAGTTTATCTATCCTATGTAAGTTAACACTAATGCTTGCAAAATCTATGCTTTCTGCAGTGATGTTTTAAAGGGGTAGCATTTGTATCCGTGTGTATGTGTGCATGTGTTATTTATGTGTTCATGTGTGTGTCGATGTATGTTTTGTTTGTGTGTGTTTATGTCCGTGGATGTTGTGTGGCAGTGTTTTTGTATGTGCAGACGTGTGCGTGTTTGGTAATCTGTGTGTTTAGGTACATGTGTGTTTATGTAAATGTGTGTGTTTATGTCTTTATGTTTGCAAGCCCGTGCCATGAAAGCAATTTTAAAGAAAACATATTTGTTTTTTTCCCCGTCAATGTTGCTCTACTTTAGCTGCCTCAGCGATGCCTCAGTAAACTAACCACCAGCATAATGCTTCTCATTAGAAAGGCAATTCGGGTTTCGTTTGCTCTGCGCTTTTAATTCAAACTTGTCATATAATAATGCATTCACGAGCACCTTATCAATAAGTAACCTTGCTTATTTACTCAAAGCCATTGCGCCTCAAGCCTTACATATAAATCATTTATAATCGCCCTCTCCAAAAAACCCTCGTGAAATGGTACGCGCATTCGCGTAACGTGCTCGCCCCCCTCGATGTGAAAATCACAAAACACAACCTTTTGCACGTGCTTGCAATGCGTCGCCGTGTGACCACCGTCGACCTTGCAGAGCCCTTGGTGGGAATACTTCAGCGGGTTATTGCTGACAGACCGAAAATGAAAATGCCCCTTTCTTGGCTACACGGGGAGTCTTGAATGGCTTTGCAGTTCAGTCACGTTTTGAAAATTTCATACGCTTGCGAGTGGGTCCCCCCTGGATTTTTTTCTGCAAACCCGTGTCACAAGCCGACAACGCATGGAATTCCAGGCGTATTTTTTTATCCGGCTGAGGGGTGGTACACTCGGTACTTTGCTGGTGCGTTATGCCGTCACCGATGCATCCCGCCAACGCCGCCCGCTACTGCTGCAGATTTGTATGATGCGGGCTAAGGAAGCATATTTGCACGTTTAATTTTAGATTTTAAACTTTTTTTTGCAAATGCATTTTGGATTTCACTGCTTAGCGCAGTCTTTCTCCCTCCATGCTTCAGTTTTTGCGAAGGCAGTGCATTTGTATGGCTGCAGTGGCTGCGTGTGTGTTTGTGCAAATTGGATTTTGGGAAGAGGGAAAAATATGCATGCATATTGGCTGCATTATTCATACCAGCGGAAGCATCCTGACTGCATTAGCTGAAGCTACACTCG